CAGAAGGCCAGAGGAGAACTCTCCACCTCTGTCAGAGTGCAGACGCAGAACAGGAAAGTCCGAGCCGAAGCTCTGCCTGAGCTGGAGACGAGCTGCGCGGATCCAGTCGATCAACACCTCAGTGACATCACCCTTGCTGCGCAAGGGGAAGACTGTGGTGTAACGCGAGTAGTCGTCAACCACCAGCAGGAAGTAGCGCTCGTGACCCTGTCCACGGACGCGGGCCGGGCCCCACACGTCCATGTGAAGCGTCTGCAGCGGGGCCTCTGTCGGAGGAAACTGGGAGGAGTGAGGGGCAGCCCGCTGCCGCCCCTCGACACAGGGGACGCAGGTAGGGCCAGGCCCCGGAGGAAGGGGAGGGAGGGACCGGGGAAGACCAGAGACAAGGACACGGGAGGCCATGCCTCGGAGACGAAGCAGGGAGGGGTGACCAAGGCGGTGGTGCCAGAGGAGAGTCTCGTGAGACAGGAGGCGACACGAACAGGGGGCAGACTCAGGACCAGACCTGGACGCTGCAGCAAACACCTGACCCGACGCAGCTACCTGACCAGACGCAGTGACTGGAGGAGACTCAGTGGTCAGTGTGTACAGGCTCGACCCCGGCCGACGTGTAAACGTGGCCAGGTGTCGGCCTGTCCGAGCGTCCGTGCAGTGGGTCACCCGCTGACTCGCAGGAGTGAACTGGTGAACCCCCGCATCCTGTAGGTCAGCACCACTCACCAAGTTCGTAGAGAACGAGGGGAGGTAAAGACCAGACAGGGTGCCAGAGGGGGCCGCCGGACACGGGAGGACAGTGGAGAAGTGAGCAAGGACAGGACCCCCAGAGGGGTCTGCCAGGGAGACCGCAACCGGCCGACTGAGCGGCGTAAGCGTGGTGCGGTCTCGAAAGAAGGAGCGGGAAGCACCCGAGTAAAGAGTGAAGGTGTGTAAGGCCTGAGACGACGTGGTACCTGAGAGAGCAGACTCACCAGCACCTGGGGCAGCAGACGCACTAGCACCTAGAGCAGCAGCCTCACCAGCACCTAGAGCAGCAGCCTCAATGCCCGGGTCAGGCGGAACACACAGGTAACAGTCACCCTCATCACTAGTAGGCAATGCATACATGGCAGTGAGGATAGCATCATAGTCAAGAGTATAGATATCTACCCGCAGCCGAAGCAGCTCCACCCAGTCGGGGAGCTCAGCCGCGTCGCCAAACTCCGTACGCCAGGCGTCGCTCAGACGGGCGAAGCAGCGGGACTCTGCGTGACCCAACGTCCCGCAAGGCTGACCAGTCCGAGCACCAGTGCGAATGACGTACGGACAGCGAGGAGTACCCCGTGACCCGTCACGCTGAGCGTACCACTCACGAAGCTGCTGGGGCGAAAGGACTGCTCGCGGACGACGCTGAAGCTGCACCTGGCCACTACAAGCAGCTGCCGAACTACTCACTCCAGGACGACTCCCACTACGGCCACCCCGACAACCCCAACTAGCGTACCACTCACGAAGCTGTTGGGGGGTGAGGGACTCACGCGGGCGACGCTGCAGCTGCACCTGGCCACTACAAGCAGCTGTGGAACTACTCACTCCAGGACGACTCCCACTACGGCCACCCCGACAACCCCAACTAGCGTACCACGCACGAAGCTGTTGGGGGGTGAGGGACTCACGCGGGCGACGCTGGAGCTGCATCTGGCCACGCCAGGAGCAGCAGTAGCAGTAGAAAGAGCAGCAGCAGTAAGAGCAGCAGTAACAGCAGTATGGGCAGGGCAGTGCTCACCAGTGGCGAGAAGGGCAGGCGTACGACGGCGGCAACGGCGAGGCCGCTACCACTGTAGAGCGAGAGCTCCGCGGCAGCTGCAGGGGTGGCTGCTCCAGGGGCGGCAGTTGTAGGGGCGACTGCTCCAGAGGCGGCTGCTCCAGGGGCGGCTGCTGCAGTGGCGGCTGCTCCGGGGGCGGCTGCTGCAGTGGCGGCTGCTCCAGGGGCGGCTGCTGCAGTGGCGGCTGCTCCAGGGGCGGCTGCTGCAGTGGCGGCTGCTCCAGGGGCGGCTCGGCTGCTGGGCGACTCGGCGGCTCAGCTGCTGGGCGGCTCGGCGGCTCGGCTGCTCGCTAGGGGCGGCGACGGGGCCGGGTAGGGGCAGCGACGGGGCCGCTAGGGGCGGGGAGCGGCGACGGGGCCGCTAGGGGCGGCGACGGGGCCGCGTAGGGGCGGCTACGAGGCCGCGTAGGGGCGGCGACGGGGCCGCGTAGGGAGGGAAGCGGCGACGGGGCCGCTAGGGGCGGCGACGGGGCCGCGTAGGGGCGGCTACGAGGCCGCGTAGGGGCGGCGACGGGGCCGCGTAGGGAGGTAGGCGGCGACGGGGCCGCTAGGGGCGGCGACGGGGCCGCGTACGGGCGGCGACAGGGCCGCGTAGGGAGGGAGGAGGCGACGGGGCCGTTAGGGGCGGCGACGGGGCCGCGTAGGGGCGGCGACGGGGCCGCTAGGGGCGGCGACGGGGCCGCGTAGGGGCGGCGACGGGGCCGCGTAGGGAGGGGAGCGGCGACGGGGCCGCTAGGGGCGGCGACGGGGCTGCGTAAGGGCGGCGACGGGGCCGCGTAGGGGCGGCTACGGGGCCGCGTAGGGAGGGGAGCGGCGACGGGGCCGCTAGGGGCGGCAACGGGGCCGCTAGGGGCGGCAACGGGGCCGCGTAGGGGCGGCGACGGGGCCGCGTAGGGGCGGCGACGGGGCCGCTAGGGGCGGCGACGGGGCCGCGTAGGGGCGGCAACGGGGCCGCGTAGGGAGGGAGGCGGCAACGGGACCACTAAGGGCGGCGACAGGGCCGCTAGGGGCGGCTACGGGGCCGCGTAGGGGCGGCAATGGGGCCGCTAGGGGCCGCAAGGGGCCTGGAAGGGCGGCAACGGGGCCGCTAGGGGCGGCGACGGGGCCGCTAAGGGTGGCGCGAGGGGCCGTGAGAGGGGCCTCTAAGAGAGCTCGACAGAAGGGCGGCCCACAAGGCGCGCCTCGGGCAGGAGCGACTGTCGCTCCGGTCAGAAACAAAAGGTTTCAGTGGTGGGCCCAAGGAAGCGTTCCCACTAGGGAACCTGCTCTATACCATGTGAAGAAATGAGGAATGAATTGACTAAGGGAAAGTTGGGTACAAAAGCAAACCCTAGAAAACTGTACCCCATATGTGCTACCCCACTATAGCCTACAGTAGCTATGTCATATAAATCTGACACATTCCACGTGTCTCTTCTTCGTCCATACAGTGATCCCAACGCCACCTTCTCCCGCCGTGATCGCACTCCACTGCCGGTAGCTGTTGACACGGACGAGCCCGACTACCAGATCCAGCGCATCCTCAGGCACCGACATCGTCTCCAGGGGGGTGTCTCTTTCATCGACTTTTTGGTTCGTTGGTGTGGTTACGATGCAGAAGACGACAGCTGGGTTCCTTCGTCCTCGCTGTCTCCCAACAACGCTTGAATCCAAGCGTACCTTCAGTCTGCAGGCGCTGCGGACGTCGCCTCCTTAGGAGGGGGGTAGTGTTACGGGGTACTTTACTGTTCAAGGGCTAATCACCCTAAACAGTGTTCCGAACCCCATCCCAAACTTATCCTTTCCAGGATTTCCAGCATGCCACGTGGCACTCTAGTTTTCTTGCATTCCCATTCCTAGTCCCACAAACTACTTTTCGACAATCGCTGTTGCATACTATATCAACCTTGCTTGTATTCGCTAATATCATTCAATCTTCACTCAGTTACTTCTTCACATATTTCGCTAAGACTTCCTCCACCAAAGTCTTCCGCCGCGTTTTATCTTCAATATATTCAGCCCCGCTATTCTTTAGCGGATTTAGGCCAAGGGGCCTAACAAATATAATGTATTACATTTCCGAAATGAACGACCCTACACCCCACCTCATCCCCAGCGCCTTCCGCGGTGAAACGCGTTCTCAGCTGAGCAGCAAGGACGTGTGGAAACTAGCGAAGACGGTCAGAAAGCAGGTTACGTCTGTCGCAAGTGTCGTGACCTACTTTCTTAGGCGCAAAAACAAAATTCGTTCATGTTCAAGTTTTCGCTGCTCCATCCTCAACTTCATCGTCACCCCCTCTCATCCGCTTGTGCAGCCCCCCGTTTCTCCCGTTGCAATATTCCATGTCGTTCCTTCATCGCGTTCCACCCATCGACCTCCGCGCATCCCGCTCTGCCCATCGACCTCCGCCCATCGCGCTAATGCATTTGCGTACCCATCGGGCATGGCTCGAGCGAATGCACGCCGATGGGCCTCGCCTCCGACGACGGTCGCTGCTGCGCCACCTCGCCGCCCCCCGCCCTTCCGCCACAAATTCCTGATGCATTATTGCGGATAGCCCACCACGAGTTGTGTTGTGCCCTTCGCGACTCGCTCTCGCTACTCGCTCTCAGCAAATAAATCGCCTATGTGCGTCTTAGCACTCACAGTTGCACTTCTTCTCCTTCCCTTTCACCGCCTCTCTCACCTTACCGCGTCTCGCTCCTCCTGTCGATCGCACCTAGCTCATTCCTCTCAATCGCTCGTAATCCAGCACCAGGTATCACCGCCGGCACTACAACACTTATTCACGAAGGTTCGACTCTTCGGCGCGCGGCTGGAAAGAGGTTGAAGCCCGTTCGCCGTGGGCCTGCTTGTCGTCATGGCTCGCCGCGGACGGCCGTCTGTCGTTGGCGTCGTCGCACTCGTCGCCGGGCTCGCTGCGATCAGCCTCCTCGCGACCCACGCCAGCGCAGGTGAGCGCCGTCGTGCTCCCACTATCGCCACTCCCAGTGACTCGCGTTCACTCTTGCTCGCTCATCCGCTTGATTTTGACCACTCTTTTTGGTTGCACTCGTTCTTACAATGCTCTTGCTCTTGTTTGTGGGTGGTGTCGGAAAGTACGTGCGTGAGTGTTGGGGTGCGCGTGAGCGCAGCGCAGGGGTGTGGGTGAGTGCAATTTCTTACCTTTCCAACCCGCCTGCTCTGCTTCATCTCGAAACCGCCTCGACTGCCCTGCAGACGCGTGTGCCACCGTGGATTGCGGGTCAGTCGCCTTCTGCTCTGCGGCCGATGATGGCAGCACGGAGTGCCTGTGCGACGGGGGTTATGTCTTCAACGTAACAGACAAGACATGCAATGGTGAGTGGTGGGAGTGTGGCACTGATGCACTATCGGCTGCATGGCTGAATGTCTCAGTGAGCTGCCCGTCGCCTGCCCAGAGTTTACAGCCACCTGCCATTCAGTATCTTTTGCTCCTTGACTTCCCCCCTCATTATTACTTCCACCCTCTCCTTCCCCCCTCATGCCCGTGGCAGATCCGTGCGCGGATGTGGCGGTGCAGTGTCCAGCGAGGGCGGAGTGCGTGGCGAGGAGGGGCAAGGCGGAGTGCGAGTGCGAGATGGGGTACATCCTGCAGAACAACACCTGCACTGGTGAGACTCAACCGCCTCCACGCAATCACATCTTCCCACGTCTCACGCTTCAACAGCAGTAACCCCTGAGAAGCCCCCCTGAGAAGCCCCCCTGAGAGGCCCCCCTGAGAGGCCCCCCTGAGAGGCCCTGAAACATCATGCGCCTCATCCATGTTTGCTTCCGCCCCTCATTTCCCCCACACCCTCTTGCCTTTGCATTCCGCTCTCTCCCCCCTCTGCTGCAACAACTCGACGGCACTGAATCCTGGGCATCACCACAACAACAACGTGCGGCGCCCACGGTGCAGATGGGCTGCTGCAGACGCAGGTGGAGGTGGAGGGGCTCACCTACCTCGCGCTCCTCACCTTCCACAGCCCCGTGCCCATGGCGCACGCCACTGGCGCCATGGCGTGCAGCCACGTGGGTGATCTGGGCGGGGGCAGCAGCACGCGGATCAGCGTGGAGTGGAAGTCGGTTGGCGTGGACACTGTGGGCACCGGCATGTGCAAGAGCCTCTCGTTTCACTCCGACCCCGGCTGTGCGGACAAGGCAGGATTGACCATCGCGCGCCCTGCCATGGTCGGCGGTGCCTTCCCCGTCACAAAAAGGTGAGCGACGGCACTGTGGTTTCGTCTGCTGTGCTGCTTGTGTTTCGAAGGGAGCATGCCAGTCAGTAAAGTTGTCTTGTTCAACGGTGTCCTCTGTGGTGTGCCCTCCCCTTTGCGCCTCACTCGCAGGACTGTGAAAGCAACCCCACCGCAGTCAATCAGCTGTGAAATCGGTAAGTGCGAGCGCAGAAACTTGTCCCGGGCACATGCGCATAGCCCTTGGAGTGTCTTCACCGTCACTGTGAATGCAGCAAGTGCACATAGGCAAGGAGGTTCAAGCACCTTCACCTCTCTTCTGGTTAAGCAAGGTGAACACACAGGCACTGCTCTCTGCACTCGATTCGCTGCCTCCCCATTCCATAGATGCCTCACGCCGCGAGAAACCTTTTTAATTTGTCCGGGCCGCATGCGCATAGTTGTTGGAGTATCAGCACCTTCACTCTGAACGCATGAAGTGCACATTGCGAAGGAGGTCAGGCACCTCACCTCGGGTTCCGAATAGTTGGAGACACGCACAGCTCTTTGCACTTGATTCTCCGCCTCCCCGTATCATGCCATGCCTTATTGACCCCATTCACCCCTTCCCCCTACATGCCTGGCTGGTGCGGTGCTGTCAACAACAGCCACGTGTCACAAGGACTGCGGCTCTGCACAGTGCGTGGTGAGGGACGGCGTGTCTGAGTGCAAGTGCCCCTGGAGCCAGGTGTTCGACGAGGCGCACAAGCGCTGCACCAGCAAGTCGCCCGGCCCCACCCCTGGTATGTCGCTCTGTCTGCTATTGCATGTACCCAACGACAAGTAGCTGCCCCATCAGCCGTCCTTGTGTGCAGGCAGAAAGATGAACTCCCTTACGAAGCCAGGCCGAACCTCCTCCATTGAGAAGCCAGGCCGAACCTCCTCCATTGAGAAGCCAGGCCGAACCTCCTCACAAATAATCATCATCTCACTCCTTCCCGCCCCCACCCACGGCAGACCCAAACCCTAGCGGAGGCGCGGACCCGTGTGAGGCAGTGAAGTGTGCGAGGAACTCGCAGTGCGTGGTGAGGAACGGGCAGCCCGTGTGCGAGTGTGATGCTGGCTACACCAAGGCCAACAAGGGCCTCTGCACTGGTGAGATCTACAAGGGTTCTGTTATTTTTTCTGATTGTCTCCGCACGAGCTCCAGAGGCAGCCCCACACCTAGAGGCAGCCCCACACCTAGAGGCAGCCCCACACCTAGAGGCAGCCCCACACCTAGAGGCAGCACATGAAATCACAGTGCTTCATGTCAGCCCAGCTTGAGTGTGTGTGTGTGTGCTATTGTGTGGCGTCCTCTTGGCCCTCACACGGGCGCTCCTTCCTCCTCGTCTGCTGCCCCACTCAGCCTCATGCTCTTTCCCCTCTCCTCCACGCACCACCTCGCACCACACCAGCTATCTGCAAGCCGGACTGCCCTGCCAATGGCCAGTGCGTGGTGGTGGGAGGGAAGCCCGTGTGTCGCTGCAAGGCGGGCTTCCGACAGGGCAAGAGCACGTGCACACGTAAGGGCAGAAGGGCGAGGGAGAGCAAGCCCCCGTTGTATCGTGCAGCGAGGGAGAGCGAGCCCCCGTTGTATCGTGCAGCGAGGGAGAGCGAGCCCCCGTTGTATCGTGCAGCGAGGGAGAGCGAGCCCCCGTTGTATCGTGCAGCGAGGGAGAGCGAGCCCCCGTTGTATCGTGCAGCGAGGGAGAGCGAGCCCCCGTTGTATCGTGCAGCGAGGGAGAGCGAGCCCCCGTTGTATCGTGCAGCGAGGGAGAGCGAGCCCCCGTTGTATCGTGCAGCGAGGGAGAGCGAGCCCCCGTTGTATCGTGCAGCGAGGGAGAGCGAGCCCCCGTTGTATCGTGCAGCGAGGGAGAGCGAGCCCCCGTTGTATCGTGCAGCGAGGGAGAGCGAGCCCCCGTTGTATCGTGCAGCGAGGGAGAGCGAGCCCCCGTTGTATCGTGCAGCGAGGGAGAGCGAGCCCCCGTTGTATCGTGCAGCGAGGGAGAGCGAGCCCCCGTTGTATCGTGCAGCGAGGGAGAGCGAGCCCCCGTTGTATCGTGCAGCGAGGGAGAGCGAGCCCCCGTTGTATCGTGCAGCGAGGGAGAGCGAGCCCCCGTTGTATCGTGCAGCGAGGGAGAGCGAGCCCCCGTTGTATCGTGCAGCGAGGGAGAGCGAGCCCCCGTTGTATCGTGCAGCGAGGGAGAGCGAGCCCCCGTTGTATCGTGCAGCGAGGGAGAGCGAGCCCCCGTTGTATCGTGCAGCGAGGGAGAGCGAGCCCCCGTTGTATCGTGCAGCGAGGGAGAGCGAGCCCCCGTTGTATCGTGCAGCGAGGGAGAGCGAGCCCCCGTTGTATCGTGCAGCGAGGGAGAGCGAGCCCCCGTTGTATCGTGCAGCGAGGGAGAGCGAGCCCCCGTTGTATCGTGCAGCGAGGGAGAGCGAGCCCCCGTTGTATCGTGCAGCGAGGGAGAGCGAGCCCCCGTTGTATCGTGCAGCGAGGGAGAGCGAGCCCCCGTTGTATCGTGTAGCGAGGGAGAGCGAGCCCCCGTTGTATCGTGCAGCGAGGGAGAGCGAGCCCCCGTTGTATCGTGCAGCACGGGATTCAAGCCCCCGTTCTCCAACCGCTCCACTGCTCGTTCTCTTTCCCCTCTCATCATCATATTGCGAGGAGAGCTGGTGTCTTTCGCCACCATGAATCGTTCTCATTCCCCGCTTGCTTGCTTGCCACCATGCCGTGTTCCATCTCGTTGCCTCTCACCCTCCAACCTTCCCATCTCTCCCACCCGACCCACCCGTCTGACAGCTGTGTGCAAGCCTACCTGCGGTGCCAATGCCCAATGCCTGGCGGTGAAAGGGAAGCCGGCGTGTCAGTGCAGCACGGGATTCAAGTCCATCAACAACAAGTGCACTCGTAAGGGCGAGGACAAATGTGCTATCCTCGTGTTTGTGTCACTCCCATAATTTCCACCTGCAGAACACCACGTGTGAATGAAGCTTTTGTCATCTGTGTTTGCTGCGCTGTAATGTAATCCCTCGGCCCTTCCCCGCTCATCCTCCATCCTTCCCATCTCTCGCACCCAACGCACCCATTTGACAGCCGTGTGCAAGCCTGGCTGCTCTGCCAATGCCCAGTGCATGGCGGTGAAAGGGAAGCCGGCGTGTCAGTGCAGCACGGGGTTCAAGTCAGTCAACAACAAGTGCACTCGTAAGAGAGGGAGATTGCTCTTCATTTTCTCTTCCATGCCTGTGAAGCTCCAGTGAACCCCATGCTCTTCCCTCTCTTCCAAAACCTTACCACCCACTTGCAAACATATGCTGTGTATGCTGCCTCTGCTCGATTCCCTTCATCTCTTCCTCACTTTTACTTTCATTCTTCCCCTCTATCTCACCCACCCCACCCACCTTACAGCCGTGTGCAAGCCTGGCTGCTCTGCCAATGCCCAGTGCATGGCGGTTAAGGGCAAGCCGGCGTGTCAGTGCAGCACGGGGTTCCAGCTGGTCAACAACAAGTGCACTCGTAAGAGCGAGGGAGACGCGTATGCTCTCGCGATATTTCTCTCTTCCATGCGTGCCCAGCTCCAGTTAACCTCGTGCATGCGCTTCCCCCCTCGCTCACAACCTCTACCATCACAACCGCCTTGCATCCTATTCTTGTTGACCCACTCCTGCACCGCCCTTGTGCTTCCTCGTTTCTCTACGGTCTTCCATCTCCATGTAGTCATGCCTGGAGGGCATTCCATTGACTCTCATACTGCTCTTCGCTTCCCACCACCCATCCACCCACTCAGCCAAATGAGCTGGATCCGCGTGAAGGCGATTCAAGGCTTCAATATGTGCTCTCAAGAGGCCGTGTTACTCAACAGCAGAGAAGAGGTGCAAGTGGCTGCATGTGGTGTGGTTGCTCGGAAGGCAGGAATGAAAGTTAGATGGCGGTGTGGAAGACCAAGTGTAGGGGGGGGGGGGGAGGGGGGATTTTAAAGTTTCTGTAATGTGCAATGATTATTGTCTCGTGTACCATAGACTTCAATTCTTCTTTGCATGTTACGGTATGTTTCTCTGTTTCTAATTATTCGCTCCACGTCTCCCTTTGGAACAAACAATGTAGTGATGGTGTGAAAAGGCAAGAAATAATTACTAGGCTGATGAGACCTGATAGACTTCTCATCACAGTGGCCTTGTATTGTAATGTGTGCACGAATAGTTGGAGGCGAGGAGACCTCGGTCGGTGTTGGGCAGAGAAAAGCCCTTAGGATCTTTCAAGGTTAAGACCCTGAGTAGGAATGTTTTAGTTGCGGAAGCGTTCTTATTAGTGAACTTGTTGAACCAACTTGCACTAGTGTGTGAGAGCAAGAGATTGATTATACCAGGGCAATACAAAGGTTTTTTTATATGATTACAAGGAGTATGAAAAGGTGCATCTAACTGTTTTGCTGTTGCGGTTCTATACAGTAACGACTCGAGCAACTGCTCAATACCGAGTCAGTTGTTTGTCCTTGCTGTCGCGCTGTACTTCGTCGAGTCAAAGGTCGCTGACCTTTGACCTTCGTGTAACCTCCAGCTGTTACTTTCTGTCAACCTCCTCGGTTGACTCGCCGTTGCTCCACTGTGATTCGCCTCATTTGCAGTCTATTGTTTCGACACAACAGGAGCGTTAAATTACTTGTTTCCAACACTCCCCTTCGCTTCTGGAGTGTCGATGCTGATGACGTGGCCTTGTCCAGTCAGCAGCATGCAATACTCGAACTTCTGCTATCCGAGTTTCTTGGTCAGGTAATCGGCTGCCATCTCGGATGTGGGACAGTAGGATAGCTTGAGTCTCCCCTTCTCGATTCTGCCTTTTACGAAGAAGTACCGGAGGGCGATGTGTTTCGTTCGATTCGCGAACCCGTTCTTGTTCGCTATGCGAATGGCCGATTGGTTGTCGCAGAACATGGAGAAGCTGGGTAACTGAGCCAGCTTCGCTTCTTCCAGTAGTTCGCGAAGGCACAATCCTTCCTTGGTGGCTGAGCAGAGTGCGATATATTCTGCTTCAGCTGAGGAAAGAGCAATTAGTTCTTGCTTGCTCGACTGCCACGAGATGGGGCCGATAGGTTCGAGTCGGTAGAGGTGGTTGGTGCGCGATCGCCTGTTGTCGGAGTCGCCGGCGTGATCAGCATCCACATAACCGATTAGCTTGGGTGTCGTAGTTCCGGTCTTGTGGTAGGTTAGGCCGATCGTCGGGGTGCTGACGAGGTAGTGAAGTGCACGGTCGAGCTCCGCCATGTGATCTGCTTCAGGCTTCTTAAGGTAGGTGGCGAGTTGGCTAGCTGAGTAAGATAGGTCCAGTCGGCAGGTAACGGCTGCGAAGAGTAGACAGCCTAGCTTTCGTTGGTAGTCGCGAATGCCGGCGGATTTGAGTAGAGCGGAGGCTTCCTTGCGATTTCCGTCGGTGTAACGATATGGTGTGGTGATGGTAGCTGGGGTTAGTCCGAAGCGTTTGGCGATGGTGTCGGCGTATTTTGCAGCGCTGAGATAGATCGTGTTCTCCCCTTCTTGTATGTTGAGTCTCAGGTACTGAGTTACGGTAGACGAGACGGTAAGCGTGGGGTTCCACTGCAGCTCCCCTTCGAACCAAGTCGTGATGTCGTCAGTTGAGCCGATGTAGAGTAGGTCGTCTACGTAAACGATAAGCGATGTAGTCGGTCCCCTTAGTGAGTCGGTACATTCCTTGGTCATGTGGTAGTTGGCGGGATCCGATGCGAATTAGTCGGGCGTGAAGATACTGCTGCCACAGCCTCGGAGCTTGCTTGATGCCGTACAACGATTTCAGTAGCTGACAGACTTGATTGGGGTCTGTGTTAGAGCCGTGTGGTTGTTCGACGAAAATCTCAGCATCGACGGGAGCGTACAGAAAGGCGTTGGCGACGTCGATTTGGCGGAGCTTCTTCCGCTTCATGGCGGCTATCGCGAGAAGAATCCGTAGTGAGGTGTGTCGGCTAACTGGCGCGAAGGTTTCGGTGAACGCACGTACATATTGGAGTTGGAGCTAAATCCCGCGGTGAGGTTGGCGCTTCTGTGAACTTCGCGTGGAGTTGGAGTCAACTGCTGCGCAGCAGTCGGTGGAGTATCGTCGACGAAAACTGGTGCCGTTGAAGGACCCGCGATTCGTGTCGTAGTCGGTGTTGCCTCTGTGCTGCCGGCGTTGTCTCTGCTGCTGCGAGTGTTGTCTCTGCTGCTGCCGGTGTTGTCTCTGCTTCTGCTGATGTTTTCTCTGCTGCTGCCGATGTTTGTTGAATTGTCACTAACGCTCTCGTTCGTTCAACTTCATGTATAGAGTGCGAGTACCAGAAGCCTCCAGGACTGAAGCCGGGGTCGAGATCTAGCGGGTGTGTCCAAGAGGTGAAATTGACGATGGCAGTCACTGTCGGCGGTGCCTTGGTTTGGAACGAAGTCAAGGCAGTCTAAAAGAACAATGTCTGCTTGAACTCCTGCGTGGTGCTGTCTGCTTCGAGATGAATTCCCTTCGCCATTAGTTGACTGACGCTGAGTAAGTTATAGCCGAGTCCTTCTGCGATAAGAACCTTTGACATCTGCAGAATAACGTTGGTTTCTCGAGACTGAAGTTGAACTATCCCCTGTCGTCGTGTGCGCAGGCTCTGGTTGTTGGCGACGGTGATTACGACTTCGCGCTGAAGTTGGTGTTCCCGTTGAACGAAGCGACCTGATGAGCACATGTGCTGTCCGCAGCAGCTATCCAAGAACCAGGTGTCTTTCCCGGACGGCTCACTCTAGGCGATAGCTGCGTACGTCAGATTCGGCTCCAATGATTCATGGCGAGGGGTGCTTTTGTCGAGTTGTTCTTCTGGTGAGTAGTATGGTGGCGATCCGGTGATGCAGGAGTCTGTTGTTCTTGCCATGCAGTTTAGGATGTTTCTTGCACCTTGTGCAGGTTTTGTCGTTGATGTCGTTGAGGACTGTACTTGATTGGTGGGATGCGCTTGTGTAGAAGCAACTTGACTGCTTGAGGGCCGAAGTTGACGTTGCAGCAGCGTTGATTGCTGTTGATTCGGGCAGTATGTGCGAGGGTGTCCTGACGTCTTGCAGAGATGGCAGAATGGTGGTACGTATTGTTGAGCATGATGTTTGTTCTGTTGATTGGTGTTGTTGTTGTATTGCCGTCGAGTGTGGAACGCGAACTCTGGTGCTGACGCTCTCTTCTTGTGTCGTTCTTCGTGTAGGTCCATGTCCTGCTGTTCAGCGTGAATTCCGGTGTAGAGTGCCGCTTCGGAGATCTTCCCGTGAGCTCGGAGGATAGCTCGAGTGGAGCGCCAATGAGGACCGAGGCCAGTGATGACAACTGTCACGAAGGCTTCTTCGGATATCGATCCTCCGCATCGAAGGAGTCTGTCGCGCAGTCCACGACAGCGTCCGATATATGCCATCCCCTTTTCGCCGGGTTTCATTTCAACTGTTGTCAGCTGTGCCATGAGACGAATTTGATTAACATTCTCTGTTGCTTGATACAAGGTTCTTTAGGTGGTTGTACGCGAGCTCGGCGGAGTTGCCGTATCCGCGTTAAGACCGGATGTTCTACTGCTCGTTCAGAGTTATGTTTCGCAGAAGAATTGTATACGCCATCAGCGACTGATACGTGTACTGTTGCTTGTCGTACTGCATTCCGTGTGTTGGGTATGGCAGGGATCCGTCGAAGAAT